GCCGGCTGCGGCCGCGGGGTTGTAACGGGGCGAGGAGAGGAGCAGAGGGGGGTCCGGGCGGCGTGCGGCCCCTTTCTGGCTCCACGGGCGCAAGCCTGGTGCCTCCCGCCCTCAGCAGCCGCGGTGGAAGCCGCGGGAGGCTTCAGCCACTGGTCAGCGGTCAGCCTCCTGCTGCTTGCACCCTCTGCTTAAACGTCGTCGTTCTCTCCTCCTCCTGCCAGGTCCTTCTTGCTCCCCTGTTGCCTGTGGCTGATCCTTCTCTCACGTATTTTCTGATCCAGACCTGTGGTTTTTGCTAGAGTCAGGACACTCTTTGCTAGAAAAGCGCATGTTTAGGAAGCGTACTTGTGCTGCTAGCCTGGTGCTCCTGTGCGCTTACCCACAACTGCTTTTCTTCTCATTTGGCGTTTACTCTCTTAACTTTATTCTCATTCTGCCGCAATAGCTGACACCAGAAAGTATTTGCTGTTAGTAACAGGTATTAGTTGCACTTTCCTCTCCCCGATCTAAACTGTGCCATTTTCTCATATGTGCGAGAAGATACTTCAAGCTAGAAATGCTTATAGAAAGCATTCGTAAGAAAAAAGAAGTGTGTCAGTCATCAGTATCATCTAAATATCATTTCAAGGACTGAAAATAGTCATTTAGTCTAAGGCTAATAGCATTTGAATGGAATTTAGCCTTAAAATAATTTTGGAATGTTAATGTCACTGTGGATGATTAAAGATATATTTAAAAGAAATGGCACGTTTAATTAAATGCTCCTTCTCTTCCTTGCCCAGCAGCTTAAGAGTAGAACTCCGATCATGTCTTGCATTTCTTACATTTCCTCAAAGCGTGGTTGGTGTCATAAAATCAATTAAATAGCAAGTTCTCTGTCCTAATGGAGTTGCATCAAATGAAAATAACATAAAGCCCGAGACATAAGAGTGGGAGATAAACCTATTAATGAAATCATAGTGTTAAACAAGTGTGAGGTTTTTTAGTATTATTTTCTTGTTTGGCTTGTCAGCAAAGTCACTTAAAAGCTCTGCAACAGACATAAGGTTTGAGGAGAAGGGTGAGTAAGAAATGGCACATGAAACTACGAGCTGAGGTGGCAGTGTCAGCAGCTCGCACATGTGAAGAGTGTGACCTTAGTGTTTTAAAGCTGCTGTGTTTGTGGTTCATTTCAGCACGTTGCCTAAACATGATTGTGTCCTCTGTATAACAGAGAATTTGGCATGAAATTCAGATATAAATCTGAAGTGTTTTCAAAGAAGCCTTTCCCTTCAGGAGAGATGAAGTCTTCCCTCCCTCTCTTCTTCCATATGCCGCTGTGGTGCCAGTGGCTTTTTGCTGTCCTCACTTCTTTGTCACTGGAAGATACTGCTTTCCTTGAGAGCAGACAGTTTCAAATTTTGTCTGTCAAATCCGTGTCTCAGTGTTTTGCCCTGTTATCTTAATCTCCTTTTCAACACTTCAGTCTCCTTTCTCACTGTAAGCAGCGTGTGAGTAACTAATATGACGGTGGATGGGGACAGGCCAGGGAGTCCTCCCAAATTCCTAGGATAGGGTTTGTGCTCTGGCTAGTTCCTGACTCCGTACTGGGCTAAGTCTCATAAGAAAAGCTGTCTGCATCGAATAGGCAGGTGGTATGGCACATTCCTACCACATCCTTTAATTTCACATCGCTGTCTTTGGAATGAACCCAGAGTACTCTGCACATATTAATGAACTGAGGAGGCTGGCAGTCTGACTCCAGGGCGGTTTCTTTTCTTTTTTCAGAGTCAAATTATTACCTTCAGGGGATATCCTAGTGAGGAGTACGAAGTGACGACAGAAGATGGGTATATCCTTTCCGTTAACAGAATTCCTTATGGAAGAAAAGGCCATGAGAGGAGCAAAGGTAAGATTTATGTCTGCTTGGAAAAATGGGAAGTCATAAAAAAGCTCTTTGACTTATAAAACTTTTGCTCCTGTAGTAATCCAGAAAAAAATTAAAGACTACATGACATATGCAGTTAGAATGTTTTATTGGTGAATGTTATGGCCAAAATAGATTAGGCACATGTAGAGTGACTTATGTAAAGGAAGGGAGAAGGAGTTAGAAAGCTGTATTTTCCTGACATTGCCTTTATGTGACATTAATACAAGCCCTTCATTGTCGTTTGATTTTTTGAGGGGCTGAGAGGCCTGGATTTTCTCAGAAGTGGAAAATAAGGACTGAGATTTGTTGGGTTTTTTTAAGTAATATAGTCTCTTGAAAAGAGATTGATTGTAACATTGTAGAGTTATTTCAAACCCCATTTTGAAAAAAGCTTCTTTGTAACAAATAAGTTTGTTAAAAATGTCTGACAGTTTTCAGAAGTAGGGGCAGTTCACATGCCTCTTCTGGTGCAATATAACTAAACTACAAGAGTTCCCAAGAACTCTTGCAAATATTGCAAATCAGGATATGTAACAGGTAGTTGACAACAGTCAGCCCAGACCAGGTTGTTTTATGGATGTGATTTGATGGGGGACTGGGAGGAGCACTGGCATGTGCCACCAGAGCACTGTTACAAGTTGTAAGAATTACTGTGAACGCTGGTATAAAACCATGGAAGGGATGCAGGGGGTGTACAGTTGAGGAGGTGGGGGAGAGGAAGGATAAGGGGAATGTAAACTGAAACTTAAGGGACCGATATGGGCGAAGGTTTTTGCAAGGACTGAATGATGGAATGCTTCAAAAATGAGACAAATATATGTGGAAGAGGAGAGACGCGTAGTCTTTGACTTGCTATCCTCGTACACTGCACATGGAATTAACAGTGTGTTTGAACAGCAGTGGCTGAATTTGGTATCAGTCTTGTTCGCCACCCCTTATAAAAGCTCCTACAGACAATTGCATGCGTACAACAGCAGCCTGTTTGCATAGAAACTGTACATGTTCTAAGGAGTGCCTCAGAACCCTTTGGACTGAAAAAACCTAGGATGAGAGGTAAAAGCATGGAGCTCACAAAAGAAATCAGAAAGATTGTCCTATAGCCTTGGGTGTGAACAAGACCTGTGGAAAAACCCTCTCCTCTGCCAAAGGCCAAGCAACAGTCTTCCTGACCTTATCTGTTGGTTTCGTATGAGTTAGGATGTTTGCACTGTCCGCTGTCTCTTACAAGGTGGGTGTGTAAAGATCAGTGCATGTATGAGGCCAGTCAAACCTAGCAGGTGTCTTTGTACTTAAGAATTTCAGAGAAGCCCACAGGAAAAAGACAGGCTGCCTTTGTACCTGTTGATTTTGTCAAATCCTTCATCGATGACATAAGCAAACAGAAGTTTCCTGACCGGTGGGAATTCTCCACATTCCCCTTGCCACACCCTCGACCCCAAGTTCATGTTTTGCAAAGTGCTTTAATTTTAAAAACAAGGATTACTGAGCACATTTGGGGAAGTATGGTCTCCTAGAAGAATGAGGATTTCAAAGTTCATGTTGATCTTAAGTTTTTATAGACTTGGTATCTTTTCTCAGAAAGATACCAATGATGTGTTACTGCTGACTTGGCGTATATATGCCATAATTATTCTTTTGCAATACCTGCATAATGTTAATAGGATCCCTTGGAATTATGTATCACATGATGTTTTGTAACAAAACCTACAGTTCTTCAGCTGAAAAAAAAAAAGGGAAAATGTCCCAGAGAACCTAAAAGCAAAACATCAATGATTTTTGGTTTTAGTATTAACTAAAAATCTAAAACAACTGCATAGCATGGTTAAGAAGGGCATGGAAGTAAGTCTGTCTTCAACTTCTTGGGGATGCAGTGAAGAGAACAAAATGTTCCATAGCGGAAAGGGTAGTCTAAGGACCTACCTTTCTTATTTCCCCTCTGGGGTTTTTAGGATCAGAGGTGATACAAAATTATTATTGTCCAAGAGAATTTGTCATATGATCGTGCAATTCATGTGCAGATCTGGTGACTGCTTGGTAAAGTGAAAAAGGAACTGGCAGAAATTGGAGGCTAATAGGAGAACAGAATTAAAGCATTAAAGTAGTTAAACAGTGTTCCCCTTCCTATGTTATGAAACATGCAAGCAGCAGCTTGAGGAGAGCCTTTTCTTCAAAAAAAAGTTGGTTGATCTGAGTTTAGTAAAAGGAAAGAAGGTATCAAAGCTAAAAGTGAACATTACTGAAAACAAATTTAATGTTAGGCTTGAAAATCCTGCACACTGTTCATGAGGCAATGAAGTATTACTGCAGCGGAGTAAACAGTTGTGTTGAACTGTACTGTCTCCGGTGCCAGTTTGGCACTGCTGGAGATTTGCCTGGTTGCAGGGACAGTATGCCACGACATGTTTTTTTTAACAAAATGGGAAAAGCAGGCACTGAAAAGGTTCCATGTCACAGGTATAAAGGTTGCCAGGAGGGAGGAATATTGCTAATTTGGATTTTGGAACTCACAGCAAACATTTATGGACGTGACCTGGAATGGAGGGTGTAGGTGACTGAAACAGTTGTGATTGGGCAGTTTCTGCTGAAATGTGCAAGTCTAAATTATCAATGGAGGAAGTATTGCATGAGTTAGTATTGTAGTAGAATGATGTGTCGTTGGAGGAGGTAAATTCCTGAGTAATCTCTGGCATTGAGCTAAGGTTACCATGTTACCAGATTTCAGTTATTAAAGCAGAAAAAAACCCCAAAACACCTGTGCCACTGCGAGAAGGGGTCTTTGGATTTTTTGAAGGTCATGTTCCTCCTAAAGGATTATATGTTAATTTATTTTCTTCGTGTAGAAGCAGGAACTTTCAATTTTTTTAATCTGTATTCCACATAAAGGTGTCATTTCCCTTTTCAGGATGGGGAAGTCAGGAGAGAGGCTGGGTCTTGACTGTTGTTCTTTTAACTACTTCAGTCAAGGGGAGAAAGTCCTTTGAAACATAAATTCCTTGTTAGCTACTCATACTGCTCTTCAGGTTCTGGCAGAGCTTTGGTAATGGAAGGGAGTTGCATAGAGATAATATCAGTACCAGTTGCAGAGATTTCCACAGCTCAGCACCTAGTTTGCCATTGTCTTAGCTGGAAAACAAGGATCTCAGTAGCACATATATGGGAATGCCTTCCCCAGGTTTAGGGGCAGGGCAAGGGTCATAAGTAGTTCAGCTGTCTGTGTTTGGGCCACTTTGCTGAGTATTTGTGAGCTTGAAACAGTTGTAAGGGCTACCTGTATTTTTCTTGTAGCTCCTGCTTTTCTCATGTTTGCTTATAGCACATTTGCTGTCTGTTTCAAGGAATCTTTTGCTCTAGTTAAGAAACTATCAAGTTGCTAGTTTAAAATTCTTAATGATAAAAAGTAGCTTTTTGTGAAAACGTGATTTCATGGCACTATGAGTATTATACAAATTGCTAATCTTAATAGATTAAGTCACGTAGATTAAATATTCAAAGTGCAAATCTAAAGCAGACTTTCAATAACTCACTTGAATTATTCTTAGGCATTCAGTTCCAGATGAACAGGAAACTATGATAAATGCTTTATTTTTCAGGTCCAAGGCCTGCTGTGTTTCTGCAGCATGGTTTGCTTGCAGATGCCAGCAATTGGATCACAAACTTGGATTACAACAGCCTCGGCTTTATGCTGGCAGATGCTGGCTATGATGTATGGCTGGGAAACAGCAGAGGGAACACCTGGTCCAGGAAACACACACACTTCACAGTGAAGCAAGAAGAATTCTGGGTTTTCAGGTATCCTCGACTTGCTAGAGAAACTAGAGAAACTACACACACTGTTTGCGAGCAGGCTTCTCTTCCTCTCTTTGCCCATCATCTCAGTTCAGTCACATTGTGAATGTACAAGGTATTTTTTTTTCTGGTTACGTCTGCTGTCACATATGTAGGGGCAGTAAAGGGGAGTTTTATGGTCAGTATAGTGTTCTGGGACAGCCTTCATATGTGGTTAGTAGAATATTAATTGCTTTCACTGGTGCTTGTGTGAAGACTCAATCACCAGAGTGTTCTGCTTCATCCAAAGGAAGCTTTTCTTTATGTCCAGACAACTGATCTGCAGTGCAGTAAAGCTCTGTGCAGCTGTTCCAAACTGATAACTTTACTTACACAACTGACTTTTTATCTTTGCTGTGTAGCTTTGATGAAATGGCTAAGTATGACATTCCAGCCTCAGTGGACTTTATTTTGAAGAAGACTGGCCAGGAACAAGTATTTTACATTGGCCATTCACAGGGCACCACAATGGGTATGTGAAGAGATGCATTCGTTAGAATATACTGTATTTGAAATGATATACCAATTTCCACTTACGTGGTTTCATGATGAAAAAATAGGGCTTTTGAAATCTACTGCTTCTGTTTTTTAGCTGCTTCCTGGAATATTCATCAACATTAAAAAGAAAAGACTTAATCTTTCTGTGTTTGCTTAAAGTGGGAAGCTGTTGAAATGATAAATTGAAGTCACAGGTAGCCACCAGTACAGTTTCTATTAAAATAAATTGATGAACTGTGCATAATAAAATTAGAATAATCAGACATGTAGAATCAAGATTCCCATTTCCAGAATACTTTGCTGTATGTAAGGCCTGGCTCAGGTGCTCTTAGACCTGCAGATAGAAAGAGCTGGAAGAGCTGGTTAGTTAGCATGAACTTGTTTTTCAGAAGAAAACAAATCCTTCTGATTTGCCTCATTTAGTTTGTGTTCCATAGTAACTAGCTTAATTTAAAATATCTAAACTGATCCTAGAGGCAACAATCAAACTATTAATCTGAAAATACTTGTGCACACTCAACATATCTTAGATTTTATAGAATCACTGCCAGGTAAAATTCTCATCTAACTTGTCAGTGAGGTTTGTTAATTATTCTCATATTATTTACAGCTTTCGTTGCTTTTTCAACTTTGCCACAGCTGGCTAAGAAAATCAAAATGTTCTTTGCCTTGGCACCAGTAGCTACAGTCAAGTTTGCCACTAGCCCTCTGGTAAAATTGGGAGAGTTTCCTGACCTGCTACTCAAGGTTTGTATTTGAGTGTAAATGTTTTAAGCCAAATGAGGTGTCCCCCTTTCTATTGAAAACAGCATAGCAAAGAATGTTAATAACTGTTATTAGATTAACATGTTTGGCAAGAATACTGGGCTGGTTTTTCCATAATAATGCTATGGAAGTAAGCAGTGGCTTCTCTAGCTTTAATGCTGTCTAATGAGACAATTTGTATCAATTTAAAGTAGTATTGTACAATTACAACTTAATAGATGGAATAAAATTATGTTTTCACATTTATATGTTTCTAGAATTTATGCTACAGAAATCACATGATTAATTAAATAGTTGGTCTATTTTAGAAGACTCATATGATAGCTTTATACAGAATGGTTTTGAATTGTCATGAACTTTAACAGATTTGTTTCACAACTAACCATTTACTATTGGAGGAGGATCCTTCAGAGGGTGATTAAGAGCAGCAGCTTTATTTAGATGCTGTGAATCATCCTCTGGAGGAGTCTACCTTTCCCCATTAACATCAAAGGCAATGTAGGCAGACTGGCAGACTGCAGTTAAGTGCCTGAAGCCAGACATTGTGAACACCCTGCTATGTGTCATTTTTAACCATCACTTTTCTTTCCACCACCCATGGAGATTCCCACATAGAGTTGTTTGTTCTGTGAGATAAACCCTTCTCTAATGTACCTTGTACACATTTAATGCGTGTCTGCATTATTTGTTCCCTGCTCCAAAGGCAGATACATAAAAGTGATACTAACAGTTGTGATCTCCTGTTCCTTGTGTAATGAACTTTGTCTCATGAGGATAGTAGCTGGTCAGTGCCCTGTGCAGATGCTCATGTTGTGCTGAGGAACTTGATTCTCGTGGTGACTTGCAAAACGCTGGAGTGCAGAAGTACATGACAGCCACAAACCCATGGGTCAGACGTATCTTTAAAGAGCTGTGTCACTTTTTAAGGAAGTGCTTAGTGGGCCATTTTCAAATCCTTGGACGTTTTAAAAATACTCATCAAGAGGAAGTGGCCACCACAGCTTATGCAACTTGTTTTTCTTACGTGGTTTGAAGAGAGGAAGTTGCAAGTACAAAGCCATTTAACATTAGCAGATGCAGCTTAAAATATTTTAGCCTTAAACAATTCTGATGACAAGAAGCTATGTAGTACTCCTGTAAATACTGAATTTAAAACTGATTAGAATTTGAGGTTAGGTTTGGAATTCTTTAATGGTGGTCCCAGTTCCCATGTACTTTTCGTGGGGGTAATGGACTGCATCATTGGCAACAGAAACACTAACTGTGACCCTCCCATTGGACTGTAAACAAGGTTGATAAGGAGATAAATCATTTTCGTATGACACACCTGTCACCAGTACAAATGAAAATATTACCTCAAGAATGTTGTAGTATAAAAACTCAAACCAGGTCATTCTATGCAATTACATGTTTGTCCTATGTATTTGTTATTTTGTAGGACATGTTTGGAAAGAAACAATTCCTCCCTCAGAATTCTTTGCTGAAGTGGCTTGCTACCCATGTTTGCACCCACAGAATACTTGATGACCTGTGCGGCAACATATTCTTTCTTCTATGTGGTTTTAATGAGAGAAACTTGAATATGGTATGTTTTGGTGGCTTTTAATAGCTGAGTTATTGTGAACGCTTTGCACAGTATTGACTGTGTATCACTGTACTGATTGTCCTTTACATGTAATTAGAAAAAAAATAATGCCTTCTTCATCATACTGAGTTTGGACAAATATCTTTCCTTGGTGTAGATGTAGTTGCCCAGCTTGGATGGATAGAATTAACCTTTTAAAATGTTACTGGAAAGCTAAAATACATTATTTTAGATCTGTTGGGGAAGTAGGTAAGAGCAATGAATTAATATGGTGGTGCAAGTATTTAATTCCTTTTGCAAGGAAGGAAGGAATAAAGGTATAGTTTTCAACCATTTTCAAGAGAACTGTTGAAGTTTTCTGGTCTCTCAGTGGACGTGTGCAATTATTTTCTCTGGGACCAATTTTTTACCCTGCTGATGGTTTCATTTGTGGTTCTAGTTCCAAAGGACTTGTTCATAGGACTTGTTTTGTTATCTAAAAGCTAGTCAACAGCAACTGGCATGAGACCGTCTTTTTTCATAATGCTTCCTAAAGTGTCTCTAACTCCCTGAAATCATTAGAAGCTGGTATCAGTTTCCCACAGGTGGATGAAGGCTGAGAATTTTTTTATTGGAGTGAGATAGAATTACCATTTTTTTCACTATTCTGTGTACAAAAATGTACATTTTTTGTATTTTGTATCAAGGTGAAAGTGGAGTTTTTTGATGTTTTCTTGCCCAGCACATACAGTTTTCATTGTTTTAATGGTGGATAATATTTTTTTTTCTGCCAGGATTTAAGTTTCCCTTGGGTATTTTGTACTTCTAAACTCAAAATGTATGAAGTTCTGAATCACTTTGGACTGACAGGTACTAGTTTAGATGTAGAGTAACACAAGGTTTCTCTGGAGGTCTGTCTAAATATTAGTTATATGCTCCCAATTCTTACAATACTAGCACTTCTTAAAAGATATTCTGAATACATAAACAATGCTTAAGGGATATAATTGTCAGGTTTAAAGTTCAGCTTTAAAGTTCTGCAGTTAATTGTAAGTAATCCCCCAAACTTTCACCTCATCTGTATATATAGCTCCATTTAACTTTTTTTTATAACAGTTTTAAGAGGAATGGAAAATTTTCTGTTAGTTGTTTAAGAAGCAATAATGGTTGCACTGTTGCACTGTGAGGAGTAAACCATATTAATTATCTTGTTGCAGAGCCGAGTGGATGTGTATTCAACACACTGCCCTGCGGGCACATCTGTACAAAACATGATCCACTGGAGCCAGGTAGAGTTTCCAGAATCTAAAATGTCCGTGACTCTACCTTGTTTGTAGAGTATTGATGTCTCTGATACTTAAATGGAATAAAATGCCAAAATATATATATGTAGGATAGCCCAAGTGAAATTGTGGAACTGCCAATTATTAGAACGGCAACTGTTCATTGCAGCTGCTTTGATGATACTGACTTTGGTGGCTCACCCCTATTCCCTATTTCTTTGAAGATAGGCTAACTGTAAGTACTTCAGGCCAACATACAATACAATGGAATAACTTAACTCAGAGATGCTGTAACGAGTATTTGCTCCCCTTTCAGCAAACCCTCTTTGGATTACAAGTTATATTTTTAGCCAGAGAAAAGCAGCAGGCTTTCTGTTCTGTTCTATTCTGTTTGGCTTCATTTTCTATTTTATTAGTGTATTTTGAATTTCACCTCAGTGCATGATTTCATGCCTGTGATGCTATTGTGCCTGAAGCTTGCTCAGCAGGCTGACAAATACGAGAAGACATTTGCCGTGGAAGTGGTGGTCAGTGCTACTTGTGATCTTGTAACTGGACTTGGTCATCTATTCAGAAGCAATGTGTTCTGCTGTACATAGCTGTTCAAGTGTTGGCTTGGAAAGAAATTTGTGAAGACTTTTTATTTTCCAGATCCCTGTTATATAGACTTCTGTTTCTGAAAAATAATAGGTGGTAAATCATACAGAGTAGACTTTCTAAGAAAGCTTCATGCTGTGTTCTTATACATTTAGACAGCAAGGTAAAAATTTCAGAAGGAAGCATGGAGCTGCCACATCCTGGCTTGGGATACACTAAACTGTTTTCTTAATCTTTCCTACTATTGCTATGAAAGAATGTGAAATCTTAAGGGACAAAGTCTAATGGTATTGCATGTTAATGTTTTCTACTCCTGTGACACTGGGCAAAGCAGTGACGCTTGTCCTTGTTAATACTTGGCATTTCCCTGTTTCACTGTTGCCTTTGCCAATTCTCCAGATGACCTATACTTTTTTATTCCTGCAATAGAAGTGTCGCAGTTGTTCTTTGTATGTGTGAATATTTGTTTATTTCTAGGCTGTGAAGACTGGGGAACTCAAAGCTTATGACTGGGGAAGCAAGGCTGCAAATATGGCTCACTACAACCAGGTATGTTATGTTACAGATACGTTATAATTCTTGAGTGTCACAAAAAAAGTCCTTGGGCACTTCTCTGCGTGCTGTGTTTATGCTACATGCTAAAGAGCCACTAGTGTTGTCCAGTAACCAACTGGAGAGCTGCCTTTTCCAAAAAGAAAAAAAGACAGGACTACAGAGCTCTGAGGTAGTCCTAAGTCAGTATGGAGCCCACCCTTGGATACGAAGTTGTGATGGCACACTGTTTCTTGAGGGTGGTCCTGCCTGTCTAGATCATGAGATCCCACTGTACTTCTCACAATAAGGCATAGACTGTCAATTCATGTGTATTGCTTATCTTCAGCCTGTTTAAACTCCACGCATGTTTGTTTCTAAATTGCTGTGTGCAATACTAAAAATATTTTGCCCCTTGTCACTTTAGTGACTGGGAAAGATTGCAGTATCATACTTTCAGAGTAACAATCACTTCTAGTATTTGATTAGGGTTTAGAAATAACTTGAATGGGATGCATTTTCTGAGACTTCTGCTACCCTGCTATCTTGTGAACTCCTTAAACCACATCTTTACTGCTATGCATGATATAATATTGCAGGACCCTCGGAGTTACATTTTCCATTGAGTCAGGACTCCATCTCTGTCTCTAGCTGCCCAAGAGAGGAAGAGATAATGAGAATCTGACGCATTTGTCTTGCATTTGCTATTATGTTACACTGCAGTGTAGTATCACACTGAAGACTTGTTCTTTCTAATGCTTTTGTTTTCACTTTCCCCCTCCTCAGTCTACTCCCCCTTTCTACAAAATAAAAGAGATGACTGTACCAACCGCAGTGTGGACTGGTGGACAGGACTGGCTGGCAGACCCAAAGGATGTTGCTATGCTGCTCACTCAGATCACAAACTTGGTTTACCACAAAAACATTCCAGAATGGGAACATTTGGATTTCATCTGGGGCCTTGATGCACCTTACCGCATGTATAATGAAATAATTAACATGATTAGGAAGTATCTCTAAACTGGCATGGTATTTCAGAGTATTAGTTCACCAGGAATTTGTCTTTTTGGAACATACTTTTTTCTGGCAATAATCCTACCTTGTTTATTTATGATGCATTTTTAAAATGCCAGCAATGACTACTGAATTGGATTCATATTTCGTTTGTTTTTCTCAGTATTATTTCTCTCTCCTGCAGAAATCCTCATTGTATCCTTCTGATTTTGCACACAGTGGCATGGTACTCAAAGAGCAGTGTGACTTTGCACAAAAGGAGTATGTCATGTGCATATAAATTTAGTGACATGTCTAAAAGACAAGTTAGTCCATTCAGCACCTCAGGTGCTTGACAATTAAAACAGTAAGTATTTCACTGTGCATAAAACACTGCCATTTCTCAGTATGTTGCCATTTCTGAGTACCTTTCAGAAGCAGTCCTTGTACTGCAGTGACCCATTTGGTGCTGGTACTTTAAAAAGCACTTAGTGACTTTTTGCTGCATTATTATTTTAGCCATCACGTACAAGCTAGCTGTATCACATGACTTTCTTTTTCAATATTGCCCAGAAGAACTGTCATGAAGCCAGAGAAGATCACCACCGTCAGTTGAAATCTCTGATTTTGGGACTGATTCATTGCTGCCTTTTTTTTGATTTAATGGTGTCCCTGAAGCCTTTCATGTTTCACGTACCCGCTGTGGATAAGGATCATTATTTGCCCTTGCAGATTCCTGGAACAAGAGAAGCGGTTAAAAGAAATACCACTTTCAGTTAGCTTTGTCAATAGGTTATGGCTTTCAAGGAGAATGATGTAACATGCTCGTGTTTTGTTTTCTTTGCACTGACCACTAGAAAACAAGCTCCCCCAGTATACTACTGGCAAAGGAAGAGCCACAGCATTAATTCTATAGCTTGAGTGACTTAATTTGTGTGGACTTTTCCCCGTAATCATCTGCTGCTTTGAAGATCTGTTTACTTCTTAGCTGCTTATGTGGTGCTTGGCACCATTGTGCTCAGGAACCGCACAACACCCTGGTGAAGCCTGGCAGTATTAACAGCGGTTCCCATTTGTCTCAGTTTCCACTTCAAAATGGGGCTAAGCCCCCATTTAATGGGGGGAGAGGATTCACATCTGCTTCAGGGGTCTGACTTTGGAGCTGTAATTGTCTTAGTATAGGTGCCTTGCTCTTTCCATTGACTATATGCATAGGACTTCAGCTGCTCTGAATTGCACAAAAGTTCCATGCCAAATGTGGATGTATGAACAATCTCCAGAGTCAGTTGCCTCAGTCCAGATGATAATTTCTGTGCCATGGTTGGATTCAACCCAGATTTCTGTCAGTAATCCCAACAGGATAAAAAGCCTTTTCTGCATAGCATAGAAAATAGTGCATTTTAAACAGAGGCAAATTTTCTTTGTAAAAAACCAAAACAAAACAAAACCCAAAACCAAACCCAAAACCAAAACCTGCAAAAAGATGCATAAGCCATAAATTAGGGCTGGTTTGGTTGGGGTTTTTTTATTCCTAATTCAGACTCAGGGAATCCTCAGGCTTTGTTTAAGGAAAAAGTGGTTCATGATATTTCAGCTGCGATTCCTAGCAGGACCTCTAAGTTTGCTTTATATTTGTAGCAGCCATATTTGTTTCACGTTGCTGTGCTGAAAGGAAGTTTCTGTAGGAATCCAAAGTGGCTAACTTAGCAGTTGTGAGGGTATGTGATACAGCAAGAGCCACGTGCATCATGTTTATTCAGCTTGAGATATTTCAATAAACATGAGACCTGCTTGGATTTCAGAGCGATGTGTTGTGTTTCACTTCTTGTTTCATGAATGTATGTGAATCTTTGGAACAGAATCCAGAAAGCCGAGTCTGTTTTTTACAACTATTCATCCATAGAACAAGTACAATAAAAAAGTGAAACAGCCAAGTATGCTCCCATTTTACTTTTGTCCTGAAAGAGGCTTTTCCTAAGCCTAAAAGGCCATTCATGTTGTTTTGGGGGACTTTTCTCAGACCTTTAAGTAAGGTACCAATTGTAAATAACTGCTCACAAGATGGAGTCATTTTCTAAGCCTCCAGGTGAGGCTCCTTTCAAACCACTGACATGGTGGAAAGCTTCTTGTATCACATTCTTAAACCTTGGGTAATTGGATTGCTTAACGGACTGTCTGGTAATCTCATAAATAGCATTTAACCACATAGTAAGGCAGGGAACTAATCTTTGCCGTGGTACGTTTGACCCAGCTTTTGACCTTTGTCATCTTCAATAATAAATATGCTCAGGCTGTACCTTTCTGTACATTCTGACTACAGTAGATGTGCAGTCAAGATAGCAGGGTGTATTAAATGGTATGTGTTGCCAGCTTTGTCAGCTGATGAACCCCCTGTGTGCCTGGAAATAAAACCAGAATAGTGGAAGCTTTACAGAAAAGCCATTATGGAGCTTCGCTGGAGCAGGGATGGCTATGGGAATTGAAAGCTGCTGTGCTCTCCCTGGCTTGCTAAAGTTGCAAGCCCTGTGTGACACAAGCTTGGAGAGGTGTCAGTGGAAAGAAATCTGTAAAATAAGACACCCTGAACATAGAGAAGAGCGAGAAGCTTGGTCTAATAAGAATGAGCAGTGATGAATTTTTCACATACTTAGTGCCTGTTTTATAGATGTCTTTGTGTTATAGGTGTATATATATGATGTTGAAGCTTGGCTGAACATCAGCTTTGGATAATACAAGTGTACTAGCATAACAGAGGGCATTGGACACCTTCTGCTGACTTAGTCTCAGCATTTAGTGACATGATCAAACTATGTTAGAAAGCCAGAAGAAAGTAGTCCCTGATCAGCTGATGGATTGCCAGACTCACAGACCTGTGTGCATCTTAAGTGCATGCACGATCCAGGGCTTTGTCTTAGAGATGTACAACACAATTGGGCATACGAGGGCTTACGCAGACATAAAGGCACGTGTCTTTGTCCACATGTTGTGCTTGGAACTTGAAAAGGATTTTTTTACAGTCATCTCCAAGTATATTCACACTGTTCATTTCATGCAAAAGGCCTAAGGATGGTAGAGTGCATTTATGTTAGTGGTGCACACTGAATGATGTACTAGCTCAATGCGGAGCATTTTTACACTATTTAGTGATGCTCTAGCTAGTGATAACACTGACAAAAGTTTACACATCAACTCAAACAATACAGAAGTGCCTCAGCATAGGAAGTGGTGGTAAAACAGAGCTCCTACTCCCTTGGGCCCTGTAAGAGAAACAGTTGTGCCAGCTTGGGAACAAAATAAACCAGTTTTGTATAAATTGCTCTTTATGGTGAATGTGCCATACAAAAAAAAGGAAACATGAATACTTTAATATCATGGAAAGTTACAAATGGCTTTAATCTGTAAGATATGAGAAAGAAACCTTGATGGCTGAATAGGTTTTCTGATATATAATAAAACGTGGCTCTTGGTGGAAGATTTTCCTATAATTAAAGCATCTATAATGTCTTCTCCTTTCTTTCATGTCTTATAAAATACAAACTCATGCTGCAGCATTGCCCATCATGAGCATGCTAATAATGGTCTCTCTTCTCCAGTAGCCTATTTTCAAATAACTTTATATAAACAAAATAATTGAAATCATCAATGAAATAAAAAATGACGAAGATTGGATGGACAATAGCCACACCTGTAACATGATTGCCTAAGTTTATTTTCTGAGGGTACTGAGCTGAAGCATGTCTGTATTGCATTCTAACTCCTCCAGAAATGATGAATGCGTGTAGTTGTAGAGGATGCGAATCAATTTCTCACTACTGAATTATGAATTCTGAATAAAAGAATTTTAGGATCTTTTCCTGATTGTTACTATTTTGAAAACTGATCCTGATAAGGTAAAACTTGAGAATTAACAATTTACTTTGCTGGCAGCTTTCCATCCCCAGCCGTTGTTAGGAATTCATTCAAAAGACCTTTGATTAAGCTTTCTTTCTGTGCTTGCTGGAGAGGTTTTCAGTGAAGCTTGGTTGGGGAGATGGAGTGTTGGTATGAAAATATTTTGATTAAGAAAACGTGTTAGTTCTGTTAAGAAAAGCATTTTGTGTTTAGGCTAAAGCTTTTCATCAAAACTGGAGAGGAATGTGTCTCCTTCATCTTCAAGTACTCAGCATCCCCGCGGGCTCAGGGTTCAGAAAGCTGCTTACCTGGGGTGCGAGGAGTAGAGGCTCATGTCCCTTCTTTGGATTCAGATCCGGGACTTGAATCTCAGTACACCCAAACATAAGGAGACTATAGGTTGAAAAGATGTAAATACGCAAAGCTCCCTCTCTCCCTCCCAACCTGTTACACCTATAAGGCCTGTGGCAGATCTGTGCCTACCAACTTTTCGTCCTGCTGCAAAACAGTGCATATTTTGTCATCCCTGAAAATTTTAACAGAGTCTAAGCAATATTCCTGAGAACTGTAACGCTAACAGAAAGCAAGCATTTACTCTGGCAGCGGTTCTTGCCGCCCCGCCGGAGGCCGGCGGTGGGGCGGGGG